ATATGTAAATATATTATCTTACTCTAAACTCCAACTTATTTTAAACTATAAATATACTTATGTATATATATAGTTTGAAAGTATGAAAAGCTTATATATAAAGGGCACAAATTATCGTGCAAAAGAATTTTTACTAAAGTTTTTTCTAATATTTTAAAATGTGAATTTTCTTTTTCCATTAGTCTAATTGAATTATTAATTAAAGAGGTTTAAACGAAAGAATTCGCAAAGATTTTTATCATCATTTAACAATGAAATACTTCATTTTTATTCGTTATAGGAGATAAGAAAGAAGATTTCTTTTTATTCTTTTCGAGAAAAGCTATGAACAAGATAATTCTATTCCAAATATCTCTAAAGTATTTCACAATATATATCTCGACTATTTGAAAAAAAAAACTATTAATTTATTCACTAAACTTTTTTCTATTTTAAATATTTAAGTATTTGTAATATTGAAAAGAAAAGTTACGAACAAGTTATTTTATTTTACCTGAATCTTTTGCAAATGTCGAAATTTACAAGAACTTCGTTAATTTATTCATTAATCAATATATATAATGCAGTAATATAATATATATTAAATAATTTTCAATATATATACAGTTAAACCTGTCTATAGCGCCCCCTCTAAATAGCGCCTTCCTCTCTATAGCGCCAGATTTTAAATAGTACGATGTGATTTACATTAAAAGTGACCTGTCTATAGCACCCCCTCTCTATAGCACCCTATTTTGGTGATTCCCAAGAGGGGGCGCTATAGACAGGTTTAACTGTATGTATAAATATGAATGAATTATTATATGAAAACACCCAGGTTAGATTTATATTGAAGATTTAAATGGATAATATTGTTACACCAAGTTGCAGCTTTTGCAAGATCGTCGACCTTGGTTTCCTCCTTCTTGGTGTTATACACGTTTCCCGAGCGGGTTTCCATATTCAAATCAAATAAATAAAAATAATAATTACCTTTTAAAGTTATTGTGTTTATTTATTCTTTGTCTTCCTCGTAGGTCGTGATCCGCAGTCTTCCTCTCGGTCCTCTCTCGCTCCAATAACCAATCAAGATATATGTACAATAAAATATTACAAAAGGAATGAAACTATAAAAAGGAATGATGATCTAAATAATATGTTTTAAATATCATAGAATATTTTGAATATATGTAGGGCGCATTAAAATTGATGCTAAAATATTTTGTTTTTATAAAGAAAAGAAAAATCTAAATAATCGTTTTGACAATGACTATCCTATGAAAAATGAGCTGCAATATTTTAGGATTTAGAAAATATGTAAAATATTGGGCTAAATAATAGAAGGAAACACTAAATATAAACTTTCATGGGAATATAAAGGATATAGAGTTGAAAGGCTCTTCATAAATTTAAAGAAAAAATCCAAATCTCAGCTTTATAGATTCTATAGAAAATTGGTATATATAGAATCCATTGTTAGGCCTAAATTATTTATTTAAAAAGATCGTCTGATATATATTTAAAGATACAAAATATATATTACACATATATTATATACAATTTGAAATATAATTAGAAACGTGAAAAAATAGTACAAATGTGATATTGTACTGGGATAATGTACATAAATTATGAAAAAAGGCATCTCCTTATCTGCAACTGAAAGTTGCTGATGGCTTGCACCATCTATCGGAATAAATATCAACAACGCGTCCGTGGTTAGCTTGTCTTGATTAATCAAGAATGGGTATTTGGCCAATTTTGGAATAATTAAAAATCAATGAGAATAGTTGATATTTATTCCGATAAATGGCGCAAGCTATCAGCAATTTTCAGTTGCACGATAAGGAGATGCCTTTTTCATAATAATTTGAAACGTTAATTAAAATGAAAAATATAATTCATTTCAGTGATAATCATAGGCGGTATTTTTACGCTAAAACATATTTATTCTCAAATATATATTCAAACGAATTTATATGCGTATATCAAAAGAAATTTGTGCTGAGTTGCTTGATGTGAAATCAATTTCATCATTATTTTTAAACGAATCTCCATAAATTGAACATTCGAATGGCTTTCAATATATATGTAAAGAAAAAAATATTTTAAGAGATTTCTAAATAAATATATGAATATTCAAATATATAAATAATATATATGTTTATATTATATACATATAACACTTGGGAGATTATTTTCGATACATATTTACATATTTTTGTTTACCTTTTGAGGACATTTTCATGAAAATGAACATATATAAAACTATATATGTATATATAAATATATTCATTACTAATTTTATCACATATATAGTCTTCGTAAAGATAAAATTTATTAATAATTTTGTCCTGACGAGGACAAAAGAATTTTGTCGAAACGTCAAGACAATAAAAAGATTTACTGGCCGAAGTGTATTTTATTTAAAGATATATAGTCTTATAATGTTTAATGGATATATTAAATCTTTTTCATCTCTCTCATAGAAAAAAAAGTTATAAGGTATTTCTTCTGTTAAGAGAGATTACATCTACGTATTTACGTTACATTACGCCTACTTCAACCCACCATGATTATTATGGCCTGTACCACGGGTACTAGGGATAAGAAAACACCTTTATTATATGATTACTAGCCGAATGACCCGGGCAAAGCCCGGGGTTTACCCGATTAAATGCTTTTATTCAAATACTATTCGTTACAATTATAAATTGGCGCCGTGGATGTCATTCTTGTATAATATATAAATGAGTTTTAAAAATTGTAAAAAAAAAAAAAAAAATGCATCGGGCGGGAATCGAACCCGGGGCGCCCGCGTGTCAGGCGAGCATTCTACCACTGAACCAAAAGCAAACGGTGACAGAATTAAGAACGCATGACGATGATAACTGTATATTATCCGTGACAGAGGCCACGACAGACGGTCGTGACTATATATATTAATATAATCTACTCTTCATTTTAACATTTGAAAAACATAGCTATAAAAAAGGGGAAGTATTTTTTTTTATTTGATTCATAGTTTCACAACCTATCGAAAAAAATAATACTCATTCATATTCCATTATATGCTAAACAAATAGAGGTATATTTTAATTATTCATTTACATTAATTCAAGAGTAAGGATATTTTACCTCTAAAATTATTTTGTAACGTATTTCTATAAACATATTTAAATTTTTTTGGTTAGAAACAGAAATTTTCATTTAAGCTTTATAAATTATTTATATTATAAAAGAAAGATGTATTATATATAAAGTGAATTTTGCTGAATTTATTTTTAAATCTACGAAAAGTTACTTTAAAAGTTTTATAACACAATTTATTTATAGGGTAAAAATCACTGCCGGTATAAATATACGTCGAAGAAAAGTGTTCAGTGAAAAAAATTTAAATTTTGACTCGGGACTTCTAACCCTCTTGTTATTTAAATATCCTTTATTCCTTGACCTTTCAGCAGATTCGAATTCTAGATCTGTTGGTTCGAAATACGTTTTAATTTGTTGTATATGGCCCAAATACACTGGTGTCCAAAAAAATAAGAAACTTTTGTTTTTTTAAATGATATGTTTTAAAATATACAACGCTCTAAAAGCTAAAAAGTAATTTAATTAGGTATTTTAAGTCGTAGAATTTATTTATCGCAACCATTCGATTCGGTAAAATTGATAATATGCAAATTTTTGCTTGTCTTTATAAGTGTGCTATTTGGCGTGTCGTTTACCCCATCTAAGAATTGTCCAATTATAATTTTATTTAATCCTTAGTTAATTATGAGTTTACGAAAAATTTTAGCAGATGATTTAAAATGGAGAGCTGTTGGAAGAATGGAGGCAGGGCAATCACAAGTTGAAGTAGCAAAATGGCTAAATGTGAATAAATCTGTGGTCAGCAAAATATGGAAACAGTTCATTGAGACAGGAACCATCAAAAGAAAAGAAGGTTCTGGTAGAAAAAGAAAAACAGCTACCTCTGAAGACCGTTATCTGGTCGTAACTGCCAAGCGCCATAGGGAGATGACAGCTATTCAACTCTCTAATGAACTCTCAAGTGCTACTGGAACGAGAATTTCAAAACAAACTGTTTACCGAAGGCTTCACGAAGATGCTCTTTATGCAAGACGACCAATGGTCTGTATCCCTTTAACCTCTGCTCACAGGAGAGCCCGCTTGAATTGGTGCTTGGAACATCACGCCTGGACTCATGATCAGTGGGCCAATGTTTTCTTCAGTGACGAGTCAAGATTTAGTTTAAACACAGATTCTCGACGAGTTTTCATCTGGAGTAAGCCTGGAACCCACTATCATCCCGATAACATCAGGGAAATAGACAGTTTTAGAGGGGGCAGTCTCTTAGTCTGGGCTGGCATCAGTTCTAGCAGACGCACACCCCTCCACATTTTTTCTGGGGGCACTTTAATTGCCCAAAGGTACAGGGACGAGATCCTTGAGCCCTATCTAAGACCTTATAGAGATCAAATTGGTCACAATTTAATTTTAATGGACGATAATGCTCGTCCGCATAGGGCTAGGCTAGTCAATGAATATCTCCAGAGTAAGAATATTCGAAGGATGGATTGGCCAGCCAGATCTCCGGACCTGAATCCAATAGAGCATGTGTGGGATGCTCTAGAGAGGCGTATTGGAGCTCGTCACCCCTCTCCCAGAACCCTCGTTGAGCTAAGAACTGCTCTATTGGAGGAGTGGGGTTTACTACCCCTGGACCTCCTCCAAAGTCTGGTAAACAGTATGAGGGCTCGCTGTGAGACCTTGATAGCTGTTGGAGGTGATCATACTCCCTATTGATATCTTATTTCTTTAAGATCTGGAACCTTAGCTTTGGGTATGTTGGTAATAATTTGCATATTTCATAATTTCAAATATTTTTTCAATTTTCATATAGCTAGTCAAATTCTCCATAGTTTAAACTATTTGTATACTAAATTTTATATTTTTTAATAAATTAGCTTTTGATAAATTTTTCAATATTGGTTAAGTTTCTTATTTTTTGGACACCAGTGTATAAGCCTAGTTGACATGGCACCTGCCCGGTAAGCGGAACACTGTGGGTTCGATTCCCATCCCTGGACACTTTTATTTTTCCGTTTATCATTACTCTTCACAATTCACCCTTTCATACCTCATCCAAAAGGTTAGAAATAATCGTTTTTATAATATCCCCTATGTTGATAACATAATAGCTATTAGTATATAAAAGGTTATGATTATTTTTTTCCATATATTTTTTCAATAATTTGACACTACATTCCACACTACATTATTTGGGCTTCTAAAATATCAAATGATTCCACTACTTATCTTGAATATATATATATATATATATATATATGTCATAATTTGTATATAATTAAATGCAACCCCGACCCACTATGTATGTACCATGTATGATTTTCGAAGACTTAATAAAGAACAAGGTAACTGGAGGGAAGCAAGTAGCATTAAGATATAGGAAGTAGACCTAAGGCTGGCACGACTATTCTGGGCACCCCTGTGTCAATATTGCAGGGGCAGAGACCGGACGTCTCTAGTGACCGCAGAAGTTATTTTAGCCAAGATACACTCAATACTTCCTGACAAAGCAGGATGTATATTGATAGCCGCGGAAGTAAATAAAGTCAAATAAACACGAGACTTCCTGACCCAAGCCGGGCGTAACTAATATCAAAGGAAACCGCGGGCCAATCAAAAGACAGTACCTTAAGTAGGTCAACCAATAGGAAAAGATCATGTGACATCTCTCGACCAATCAGAGAGAAACTGAGGCTTGGTGTTAAATCGGAAAACAAGAATGAGTAGTTAGGTTTTCGCTCTCATAGGAACAACACCTGCAGTAGTGATTTAGCTTCCAAGAAGGTGACATCTGCTCTAGACCTCTCTCCCTCTGCTCATCCCACAGCTAAGTACAATCACCGCCATGTGATCAACTAATTAATAAGTCAAATCGCTCAGCTCTTCTCAAGCTTTCTTTCCTCCAACCCAGTTGCCTTTTAATTTCAAACCCCATCACGTGTCCTGATTATTCCTAACTGTGTGCTTCACTTACCACTCAACGACTGCGCTTCAACCAATCCTCACCATTCAAATCGAACAACAAGAAATTCCGCAACGATATTGCCACAGAACGGTTAAGTCGACAGGATTCTATAACAGTGTAATACATCAAATATTATAGTGTAATAACAACAATATCATCATATTACACAGAGTCGACAGGATAAAGATTATGGAACTTAATCAGGATAGTGAGATGGAATTAAATCAGGATCCCATAGGCGTAAAGTCAGACGGTCCAACGGAAACAATGGAAAGAAGGCAAGAAGCAAGGGAGAACGAAGGGGCAGGAGAAAGACAGGAAGTGATCGGCCGAGAGACAACTGCGCCCCTAGCGGACGCCGTCAATCAGCTGTCAACGCTTCTGACCCGGGTAAAAATTTCTGATGGAGCGGAATCGGCGATCTCGCCTTTCGACGGCACATACAGCGCGACACAGTTTTTCCAGACGTTCGACCGAAAAATGGAAGACGCATCCATGGAAGAACAAGAAAAATTACTGCGCCTGCCAAACTACCTGGTGCGACAACCCCTGGAGCTCTTCAGGAAACTTCGGCTGGCCGACCGGAGTTATTTCCAGGTGAGACAAATCCTCCTAGATCTCTACCCTGAATCAAGCGAAGCGTCCTTTGCGAAATATTTCGCCATGAAGCTCACTGGACAAGCCAACTTAGAGACCTACTACCGGGAGAAAACCGCCATGGGATTGCAACTAGGACTTCCACAAGAGGTGATCCTCGAGACGCTGACAGAAGGACTGCCATTCAACGACCAACGCCTAGTCCGCGTAGTACCTCCCGAGAACCTAGGAGAATGGTTCCGCCTGGTACAGCGGATCCACGGGCCCAGTGTACCGGCAACGCGATCCAGAGAAGATCAACCACCCACAATGTCGGGTCCGTACCACAGCACATCCCGACGCCCAGGTACATGGAATGCACCTCTTCCGCCATCCAACTGCAAGTTCTGCGGCGCGAGACACTGGCACAGCGAATGCCGACGTCGACCAATCCCGACGACCCACGAAAAGGTCCGGACAGTGCAAACGGTCCCAAAATCACCAGTTCCGACTTCATCAAAACCAAGTCAAGCCAGAGACGCCTCAGCCGGACAGCCCTTTCGAGACTGAGGTAGGATCCCTAAACCAACTGACTGTCAAACTCTTTCTAGCCCCTAATGTATCATGCCCCTTTTTAATTGTTACAGGCGCCAGCCTGAGTATAGTGCCATATAATATTTATCATATGCTAAAAACCCACCTGCCTAATTTAACCCTTGAGGGACACTCACTACACCTCCAAACCCTAAACGGATTTGCAAAAACCATGGGTAAACTATCTATCCCACTGACAATAGGACAAACATCACGAAAGGAGTATTTCCATGTAGTGAATGCACCATTGCCATTCGGAATTCTTAGTATCAATAGCCTCCATAAATTCAGATTAACCATAGATTTTAATAAATGCACTATACTCCAGCTGGGCGCCCCATTGTCTACCCTTTCCTACCATTTTAATCATGTGTCCAATGTATGCACATACTGGCAATGTCAGGCGATGTCACAAAAAATTTTCCCCACATCCCAACTTTCCGCCTATGACAACCATTGCGTGCATTCATTGAGAAAACCCCACTTATCTACATGCCCCTTTTTCACTAAAGCCAATTGCCCTTTTTACATGCCCTCAAATAATCAAACCACAACAACTTCAACTTATGAACCTGTCCAAAACGCACCCACACAGCGGGATAACTCGCATACCAAAAACCTAGGTGATCACACACCGTTACACAACTCTCACATGACCAACCCACACAACGAACTCGACACTCACACTAATACACAACAAAACCCTTTACCCCATGCATACTACAACACCTAACACTCACTATACACCACAGTTCACAACACTTCTACAAAGGTACACTCACATTTTTTCACAGGACAAATTCAACGTACCATGCTTACGGATTCCACCAGTAAAAATACCCACGAATTCCGAAAAAATAATCACCATACGTCCATATCGTGTTCCGATATGTGACCAACAAGAAATCCGTAACCAAATACAACAAATGCTGGAGAATGGCATCATAGAGCAATCTTTTTCACCTTTCTCGAGCCCTGTCACCCTCGTCACTAAGCGCGACAAGACCAAACGGTTTTGTATCGATTATAGGAAGGTGAACGAGCTAATCAGCTCTGATGTCCATCCCCTCCCGAGAATCGAGGATATCCTAGACCGCCTCGCACAAGCCAAATATTTCTCCACGGCCGACATATCCTCTGCGTATTGGCAAGTCCCAATACACCCCGATTCTCGACCACTGTTAGCATTTGCCACCTTTGAAGGATTATACCAACCCACTCGATTACCTTTCGGGTTAAAAACCAGTCCTCAGATTTACGAACGAGCCATAAGTCAGGTCCTACAGAGACACGGACTTGACTGTGTGGCACATTACTTTGATGATTTCATCATTTACTCCAACACGTTGGAGGAGCATCAAAACCACCTGCGACAATTTTTCGCCTTTTGCGAAGCGGAGAAGTTACAACTTAACTTCGCAAAATGCGAATTTTTTAAGCAATCCATAAATTTTCTAGGTTACACCATCACAGCTGGTACAATCACACCACTCACACGTAACACCGACATTATCCACGCCATAAAACAACCACACAACCGAAAAACACTACAATCCTTCTTAGGCGCTGTGAACGTCTATAACAAATTCATTCCGGAATACGCTCGCTTGCGAGCACCACTCAACAATCTCCTCAAAAAGGACGTCGTGTGGAACTGGAATGAAGCTTGTCAAGAGGCGTTCATTGACCTGAAAGGAAACCTCACACAACACCCCATTTTACACCTTTACAAAGAAGGTCTGCCATGCCAAGTGTATTGCGATGCATCCACCCTCGGTATAGCAGGCATTCTCAAACAAGTTCACCCTGACGGAAACGTATATCCAGTTCAATATTTCAGCCGAACATTGCGCCCACACGAGAAAAACTACTCCATCTCTGAACTTGAGTGCTTAGCAATCGTTGAGAGTGTGGAGAAGTTTCGCATCTATCTTATGGGCAGAAAATTTACAATATTTTCTGACCATCACGCATTGCAGTGGTTGAAAACCATCAAGAACCCGTCCGGCAGACTGTTTCGATGGAGTTTACGACTATCGAGTTACGAATATGAGGTCCGCTACATAAAGGGAAAACTACAATACGAAGCAGATCTCTTGTCCCGTAACCCGTTTTGTGGATTCTTGGACGCCACCCTTATCAAGACCCACCAATCTCCTCCATCGAAAGAGTCTAGTTTGACCATTGATCATAATGGATTACATACAGTTTCCCGAAAAGGTGTAACCAAGATTATACTTCCAAAACCACTCATACAACAACTCTTACAAACAGTACACACACAATACAATCACCCCGGTATTTCACAAATGTCACGAATCATCTCCACACAATATTACTGGCAAGGTATGTCAAAAGATATTAAACAAAAAGTTAAGACCTGTCCCACCTGCCAATTAACAAAACGTCCAGTAGGACCCACTTACGGAGAATTAAGTCAACCTCCGGAATCTAAAGAACCCTTCGACCTCTTATCTCTGGACACCATAGCAGGATTTGCCAAATATGGCAACACCAAGATATACCTCCATGTGGTAGTCGATCATTTCTCACGCTACGCGTGGGCTTTTCCATCTAAATCCACCAGTACCACCACCTACCAACAGGTACTTAAGCGAGTATTCCAGGATGGTTCTCCAAAACGCCTTCTTACGGATAGAGCCCCTGCCTTCACTTCACCCAAATTTCGTAGTTTCCTACTTAATAGAAATATTCACCCATTGCTCACAACCAGCAACAATCCACAGGCCAACGGTCTATGTGAACGCCTAAACGCCACCCTCACGGGAAAACTTAGGTTATTACACCTAGAAAATCCTAAGGTCGCATGGACCAAGCTGGTCAAGAAGGTTACACTTATATATAACA